TGTTATTTGATTTTTCGATCGATATCTAAAGCAAGATCGAAAATTCAGGAAAACGATCATAATTCGGCTCCAGAGGCTCATAGGCATGAACCAATTTAGGATCTTTCTAGTCTTACTGAGACCTTCTTGTGAACTCAAACAATGAGTATCAGTTCGAATAGTTCCCTAGTCCACATTTTTTCTCAAGAAAATATCTTATGCCATACCATCATTCGATATAGTTTCGAATAGAACATTAATTTTCAATAGAAATGCTTTCGAGTCTTAAAAACAAAAAGTTTAGCAGAAAAACCTGCTGTGTATGGTTCAGGATAGTTTCTGCTAACAGTGATGATAGAAAACATACTTTGAGCAGAGTTGAATTGACGCGCTTACGAAATAGTTTTATTTCATTATTTTCTTATCGGTACAACCCAGGACGAACAATCCGACAGTGGATCCCATCGGATCCTATCCAGATCCTATAGGATTTTATTGGATCCGGGTCACGATCCGACTAACGGATCCATAGTATTGGAATCCGATCGGAATCCGATAGGATACTATAGGAATCTCGTCGGAATCCGACTGCTGGAGTTCCTATCGAATCCGACTGTTGAATTTGATCGGATCTCTGTCGGATCCGATCGGATGTCTCTCGGATTCCAACACTAGGATTTGTTCGTCGGATCGTGACCCGGATTCCGATCGGATTTTGTAGGACTCGTTGGATCCTATAAGATACCATCGGATCCGTGTCGGATTGATTGACCTGGGAAGTAGTTTTACTCAACTTAAAATTCTCAACAAAAAAAAAAATTTACGCAAGCCTCAAAGTATATTTATCCCTGTATGAATCAATGATAGGATAACTTTCGTTTGTTTTTTTATTATTTAATGTACATTGTGATTAGTCTCTATCACTTTATATAATTAGCTCAATCTTGACTATGTTTTGGTCAAAAAAAAAGACGAATATTCTTTCGAAAAAGTAAATAATTTATAGTTTTTTTTTTATTTTATTTCTTACTTTATATATTGGATGATTACCATTATTAATTGCAATACGACGTTGACCACTCATGGATGATAATGGTGGACGAACAATATTATTTCGACGATAAGATTGTGTTAAACTCATTCGACGATTTCTATCATAATCATCATCATCAACACCACCACCCATATCATACATAGGTCCTAAAATATAAGAACACAAAAAATTTATTTGAATAATATTTTTGTTTGTGTGTGTGTGTTTTTTTATTACGTGTAGATCGATATGTTGTTTGTTTTCGTGGTCCATATCTTGAATTAATTTCTTCATATTGATCATAATCATCATCATCATCATCATCATGCCATTGTCGACGTGAACCAGGTGGTCGTCCACGCATACCTGTACCACGTCGTCCTGAATATGTACCACGTCCACGATAATTTGGACGTTTAGGCATATATTGTCCTTTTGGTATATAATCATAATCATGTGGTTCTTCACCAGCTGGTGGTAAATTATTATTATCATCATCATCATCTTCTTCAGATTTTTCTTGTTGATCATTCATCCATTTAGGTCGTTTAATTTCTGGTTGCTGCTGTTGTTGTTGTTGTTGTTGTTGTTGTTGTTGTTGTTGTTGTGGACGTGATTTCATTGTTGTACTTTTAACAGCATAAATACGAGGACGAGGTTTATCTTCTGTTGTTGTTGTTGTTGTTGTTGTCATTTTTGTACCTGTATCATTATATGATGGAACAAAATCATTTTGAAAAACATTATTTAATGTAATAACAGATGTTGATTTTTTTTGTAGATTTTGTTCAATATTATCATGTTTTCTTGATATTGATGTATTATCAATTGGTTGACCAGATAAAGCATCAAAATTAGTTAAACGTGGAATAATAGCACGTTTACGTTGTGCTGTTGGATCAATTTGATTTGATGATGAATCTCGTGGTTCTTCTTTAGGTATACGACGTTTAAGAATTTCAATTGACATTTTACTTGAACCTTTCCAAACAAATTCAACTGAGTCATCACTAAAATCATCATCAGATTGATGTTGTTGTTGTTGTTGTTGTTGTTGTACTTGAATTTGATGTTGTGGTGAACCAAATTGCATAAGATCTTTTTCATCAATAGTTGAAAGTTTTTGATTATTATTATTATTATTATTATTATCTTCATCATATTCATTAAGATCAGTTTTAGGATTTGTATCTGTTGATAAAGTTTTCTTTTTTATATAACGACGTTTTATTGATTGTGATGGAATGATATTTTCTGTTTCAATTTGTTGTTTAGATTTATCTTGTTCATTATTATTATCATTTATATTTAACATTTTTGGTTTACGTCCACGTTTTTTTGGTGTAGAAAATTTTTCACTTATTATTGGTGTATTTGTTTGAGATATAAGACGTGATGAACGACGTGTAACTGGTTTTTCGTATGAATATTTATTTGAATATTTTCGTTTTGTTATTAAAGAATTTTCTTCTATATCACTATCACTTTCAATATTTGATGATGATATTGATATACGTTTTGAAATATCTTCAATTTTAGGAGTTTTAGGTGGTCGACCACGAGAACGTTTTATTGGTGTTGGTGTTGGTGTTATGTTTTTACGTATAAACACCGTTGATTTTTTGTTATGATCTTCGTCGTCGTCGGATTGAAATGTATATTTATCTGAGGAGGATGTTTGATGTTTATTTATTGATAATGAACGAGTAGACGGTCGTTTTAATGGAGATAATGTTGTTGACTTTTTACGCATGATGATAAATGACTCACGATCAGCATGAGCTTTTCGTGGTCAAGATTAATAAAAGTAAAAGAACAGAAAAAAAAAAAGATATATTTATTATTATCTAAAAAACAAAAGAATTAATCATGTTTAAGTGAACAGATCATATAGGCAACAATAAAGATTTATAACAAAAACGAAAAATTCGTTATTATAACAAGACAATAAATAACAATTAGAAAAATAGACAACAAAAAAAAAACAAAACAAGTTTTGGAATAGAAGATTTCTTTTTTGATAAAATGAAAAACACAACCAAAGGTATAATAAATACCACCGGTTGGACATAATTCGAGATCGGAAAACAAAAAACAACACCTATCAATTTTGCACTCCTTTGATAAAAAATATCCTGATAATTAAATAAATTACAAAAAACAAAGAATTGCCTATTAAGTTTCAATATGAATTTTTTCTACTGCTGTTCGTACTTCTGTTGCAGTAACAGTTAATGGCCATACTCCACCTATAATACCGGCTTGTATTGATACTCCATGTGTAACAGCAACATCAGGATCAATTTCAATATTAGGTTTTTTTTGAAAATAATCTTCAATTAATTGTCGAATTTTTAACATTCGTGTTGAACCACCAACTAAAACAATTTCATCAATATTATTTGCTGTTACTCTATTACTTATATCATCATTATCTTCATCATTATCATTTATATCTGAATTAATATAGGCAAATATTCTATCTAATGGTTCAAGAATTTTTTTAAATAAATCTTTATTAATATCTTCAAATAATTTTCTTGTTATAATCCATTTTGAATTAATTATACATTGATCTAATATTGTTAAATCAAGTTTACATTTTTCAGTTTCAATTCTTAAATGTTGTAAAAAATTTGGATCAATTTTATCTTTATTATTATCATCAATTAATGTTAATATATAATGAAATAAATTTTGATTAAAATCTTGTCCACCTAAACGATTATTACCAGCCATAGCTTGTGTTGAAAACATTCCACCTTGTACTGATAATAAACTAACATCAGTTGTACCACCACCTATATCAATAACTAATACATAACGTACATTATCACGTTTATGTAGACCATATGCTAATGCAGCCGCTGTTGGTTCTGATATAACTCTTTCAACTTTAATATCAATTAATTCTGCTGCTTGTCTTGTTGCATTACGTTGTTCATCATTAAATTCAGCTGGTACACTTAATACACAAAGTTTTACTTTTGAAATCATTAAATATTTTTCAACTAATTCTTTTAAATGTTTTAATAATAATGAACCAATTTCTTGTGGTGTTATACTTGTTCGATTATCAGATATAATAAATTCAACATAACCATTTTCATTTCGTATAATTTCAAATGGATAATCTTCTTGAATTTTTTTTATTGATTCTAATGAAAAATTTTTACCTATAAAACGTTTTGTATCATATATTGTATATTTTGGATTTGTTTCAAGATGATCAAATGCATCATAACCTAATAGAATTGTTCCATTAGGTAAAAATGATACAATTGATGGCATACATGAACGATTACGTTGTGCAGGTATAACTTCAACTAAACCACTTATAGCATGATAAATTCCAACACATGAATAAGTTGTACCTAAATCAAAACCGACTATTTTTGGTTTAGGTGCTGGTAAAAATTGTTGACCAAAATAACCAGCTACAAGTAGAACAATTAAACTTCCACCAATTAATGTACATCCTGTTTCCGATGAAACCATTCTAAATCAGAAAAAAAAAATATTTAGAACAAATGATATTTATTTTTCGAGACAAAAGAGGGCATGTGTAGTCGGAGAATAATCAATCGCCATCTTTGTTTAATTATCCTCCGTGTTAATACGTTTTTAGGTCAACAAAGATATTTAATAACCAATGAAATAGAATTAGATATATTTCTTAAGGAAATTTTAATTAAAAATTAAAATAATAAATGAAAATTTTATTAATTTTTTTTTCTCAGTGAAAAATTATGAAATTATTAACGACATCTTTGTATTAAAATAACTCTGTTGGATAGAAATTAAACGAATAGAAATTTATAAAAAAATATATTATTTTTTTTGTCTTTTTTGCTTATTCTTCAGATTTTTTAAAGAACGAAAAGGTCAGTTATCACATATATTGTAGATAATAATCTGCTTATTTTTGTGTTGTATTCCATGTAATTAGTATTTTATTTATATTAAATAATCATCTTGAGTGGCACTAATGTTCGGCCGAGCGAAGCCGAGCAGAGGCGATGAAACAATTCAAAGAACAAAAGAAAAAATACTTGATTTAACAAAAAATCCATCTGATCGTCAACGTTATTTAAGAATATTAATTGGTATGATAGCAAAAAAATAATAAAAACTAATTTAATATTTTCTATGAATATAATTTAAAAAAAATAAATCTTTCCTTTTCTTTTTATTATCTAGATCAATTATCTATTGATGATTTACAAGCATTTTTTAAAACTGCATATCAATATATTTTTTATCTTTTCTTTGAAAATTTTAGTCAAGTTGAAAGTAATATAACACGAGCACGTATGTTGTATTAGACAAAAATAAAAATAAAAACAAAGAATACAACAAGAAATTTTTGTCTTTAGTTTCAAAACAAAATCAATTAGAACTTGAATATGTTACCAATTTATTGGAGGTAAAAAAATATTCATATTAACTAATAGATTAATCACTTAAATTTTAAATTTCCCTTGGGATTCATTGGTGAATAGGTATTTATGAAAAAAAAAAGAAAAAGAATAAATAATTTCAACAATGTATTCCATTGATAAATGAATATATTTTTTTTTCTTCGATGTTTAATCTGTTTACCATACAGATTTCAAGCGTGAAAAGATATGTTTGAAGAACATATAATATGATCGATTAAACATTAGTGCTGCTGCTGATAAGTGATTATAATTAAAGCATAAAATAAAACCTGCCAGAATTACACTTCTACCATAATTTATTAACATTTTATTTAATCTCTTGAGATTGTTTTTTTTTTCGATTTCCATATATGTAAAATTTCTCAATAAAAATATCAATTTTAATGTCATGACCTATTCCTCTTTACACACTTTATGTTTAATTAATATTTTCTCTTTCTTATAGCGTATTCTTACATTATTACCTACATTTGTACATCAAAGATGGCAAGCACATTGTATATGCAATGTAATCAAACGATATTTTGTTGTTTGTAATAGTCCACAAGTAAATAAATTTTAATTTATTCCTAGAAAAAAAAAATCAAAAAAATCATTGAAATTAAAATAGGGTGTTGCACGTGGCATACGTTTATTTCTTCTTTGGTATCAAATATTAGGTAGTAATGCTGTTGATGATGAACATACATTTTTTAAAAGTCTTATACGTAATTGGAATCAAACATTGGTTGGTACACGTAGTAGCGGAGAAATTTCAAATACAGATGAACAAGCATCGGCAGCATTTAATGAAATATTTCGTACACCACCTGGTTTGTAATGATATAAATATATATATAGGGTGTCCGGAAAGTCCTTAGAGTTACAAAAATTTGGATATCTTCATTATGGTTGGACTGAACGAGCTCATTTTTCTAACAAAAATTGAGGCATGTTCACACTCCAAATTCATATGGCCAAGGGTATTGAGAATCTTTGTTAAGTATCACTATTGACCTCAACAAGAAAATTTTACTGTTTCACAGTTAGGAAAACAAACATTACACAGGATAGGGCAAAAGACACTTTATTGAAAAGACAATTGACTCTCTTCATTATAGCTTGAGCGAACCAACTGATATTTTTACCCAGGATAGAGGCATATCTACACTCCAAATCCATACTGACAAAGTTAGTGAGAACCTTTGTTAAGTATATGGTTTTTCTTTCTCTCTGTGGAACAGTAAAATTTTCTTGTTAAGGTCAATAGTGATACTTAACAAAGATTCTCAATACTCTTGTCCATATGGATTTGGAGTGTGAACGTGCCTCAATCTTTGTTAAAAAAATGAGCTCGTTTGGTTGAGCCGTAAAGGAGATATGAAAATTTTCCTAACTCTAAGGACTTTCCGGACACCCTATATATATTGAAAGTTAATTTTCGAATATTCTAGATACTTTTCGATGGGCTGATATAATTCCAATATGGCCAAAAAATACTTCTGATTATGAACCAACTGTTGATCGTTGGCTTTTTTTTATGTTACATACTATGTCGGATACATGTAAACGTATTTTATGGGATTCAAATTCTGAATCATCACGTATAGAAAAACAAGAAGAATGTTTTCGATTTCTATTCGATATGTTTAAACGTTATTATATGCCAACACTTTTTCCAACATTTACTGAACAAAATATTTATGATTTATCTATACCAAGTAAAAAGATTCAAATTGTTTTTCATTTTTTTATTATAAAAAAAAAAAAATTCTTTTTTTTTTTTAGTAACAATCCCTGAAACAGTACGAAGTGAAAGTGATCGACCAAGAAGACGACAAGCATGTTTATGTCGAACAGCATTTGTTATATGGTTATTACCATTTCTTAATGAAGGACAAAATCGAGATAGAACATTGTGAGTTTTTTGTTTTTGATAATTGGAAATTTAAACTCGAAAAAGTAAAATCCAGAAATAAAAATTTCGGAACTATAAAATATAAAAGCAATTTGAATAATTGTTAGATACATAAATACGATGTGAATCTTCCGTTCAGTCACGTACCAAAGAAAGAAGATAACTTTCAGCAATTATTTAGTATTATTGGTTGTTTTATGAAAATCCTGAGATGCATCTATTCATATAAATAATAGTTGAATGTAACCGATGAATGTTACGAGGATATCTAGAAGTTGAATAGCTTTATTTAATATTCTGTATTGATAACAAAATGATAGAACCGGCTGAAGTCCGCACATTCAAATGTTCGTGTTTGGGTTTTAAAAAAAAAATCTATTTTTTCGTCTATTATAAATTCTTTTGTTTCTATAGAACTCGTGTACAAAATCCACCTACATCGCCTCTAAATATTATTGCCCAATCAACAGTAACAACTAGTACAATAACTAGTTCATCAGATTACTCATCATCATCAAATGAATTATATCATATAATAACGGGATCAGGATCAAAAAATCAATTGCCATCATTTCAACAATTAGCAAGTCTAATTGGACCATTGGATAGTAATATGTTAGAAATAGGTCAAAATGTATTTTTATCAACACAAGAAAATATTAATTTTATTCATGAGATATTTCGACAGGTAAATAAACATTTTTTTTTCGATTGAAATTATTGTTTTGGTTTTTAAAGAGTTATCTTATGTCCGGTGAAAATGGTTTAGCTGCTTCGCTAATTCTTCGTACGGTGAACAATTGGATAAAAGTTTGTATCAATTTATTTGACAAAAAAAATCTCATCTTATAATAATAATAATAATAATTTTTAATTTCATAGGAAAAACATTTAGAACCAGTTTTTATGCTTGAACCTGAACAACGTTCATCATCAAATGATGTACCTAATGATAATCATCTACGTTTAGGTCTTAATCGTTGGTTACAAATTTTTATAACACAATCATTTTATTTATTTCTTGTACGACCATCATCAATCAATGATGAACAACAAACATTAACAACACAACCTGAACAAGCTATGCGTGAAAGATCACTTGCTGGTCTTGTTACATTCTATAAAAAATTACCACAAAGACATACACCAGATCGAACAACATGGTACAAAACAAAAAAAAAAGATTATTTAATAGCTTTATATGTTCTTTTTGTTTATGAAATTAAATTTTTTCTAGGGATTTAATTTTAAGAGTTATGTTAAGAATTGTTCGACTTTCATTACAAGATCGACCAACACAAAATACAAATCATACCTATATTGAAAATACGATAAAAGTATGTGAAAATAATATTCATTTATTATTTTTGTTTTTTTAAACTATTTCATTAGTGAAATAAGATAGTTAAAAAAACATGAAAATTTTATTTTATTTGATATAGAAATTTTGAATTTTTTAATAGAACTATTTTTATTATACGAGAAAGCTGTTAATAAGAAAATAACGCATAGAATTGCAAAAGTTTTGTAAACGAAATGTATTTCTTCATTTATCAATCGATTATGAGAGTCAACAGAAAAATTTTAAATCAGAATTTTAAACTCTTTGTAAATATATCTTTGAAAGATACGAAAATTAAGTCTGGACAGAAGAAGTTTCAACTAACAGATCTACTAGAACCAGCAAATCTGATCGTGCTCCTGTCTGATTTGACTACATTACGTTTTGAAATTTTTTTTCGATCAGCACCTAGACACAATATACTAAAAACCGAAACTTTTGCATCATTGATTATAGTAATTTTTATTCTTATGATGTTAATTATATTTATTTTAGACTCTTCTTTTCCTATTTCAATCAGCATCATTATATGTTAGTGTTGAATTATGGAATAATTTAAGTGATACATTATCATCAAAAGTTATGTGGCCTGAAGTTATTGATCAATGGGATGTGAGTATTAATAAAAAAGAAAAAGAATTTTTTTTTTTCTTTGAAAATTTCAATTCTTTTAAATAGTTATCAATGAGAGCATTAACAAAAGATCTTGGTCGTCTTGTTTATAAAGTTGAAACAGAAGCATCACAAACATCACATATTCGTCGAGGTGGTCCAAATGCTGGTATTCGACGTACTGTACAATCTGTTCCATCTAGTTCTCTTAATCAAAATTCTTCATCGATTATACCACGTATACGAACATTAAGTTCTGATGACGATGGTGATCTACCAGAACAAATAGCACCACAACAACAACCAATTCGACCATCAATTATTGAACGTACTCGACCAGAACGACGACGAACAAGTAGTGATGATAGTTTAACACATACAACAGCAACAACAACATCATCAATTACTAATCGAGTACGATAAAAAAAAATATATATAATTCTTTGAGAAAAGAAAAATTCTATTGTTTTATTTTTATAGCCACATGTTTTAGCAAGTATTCCAAGTAATCAAATAGGTGAACAACAAGCAATAATGGAAGGACATTTAAATGAACAAAATCCACTTTTATTCAGTCCAACTGAATCATTAATATCTACTCAACAACAACAACAACCATTAACTATTCAAATATCACAACAAACACGTATATTATATATATATATATATATTCATGTTTATTAATATAATTAATATATTTTTTTTGTTTTTAGCTAATTCTCATATGAGTGATATGTCACCACCAACTCATCCACTTGATTCACCAATGAGTGATGATTATAGTAATGTATCAACTGGTGTACTTGATACAAATAGTTTAAGTGGTATTGTTAGTGGTGATACATTAACATCACAATATAAAAGTAAATAAAAATGTTTTCCATTTTTTTTTTGGAATATAACCTAGATGAAATTTCAATTGTTGAAATTAGAATAGGATTTTCAAGGTATTATTACCTGATATTGAAACTGCTTAGTTATATATAGAAAAACAAATTTCGATCTCTTATCTGATTGTCTGTCCGAATTAGAGAAATTTTAGTACTCATTTTGGAACCTTTGAAGTTTTCAACAACCGGAGTCAATTTGATTTTTTTTTAAATTTTCTTCTTTGCTGACTGGTTTAGATATTTATGGCTTGATGAAATTGAGAAATAAAATGGACAAATTTTAATAATGAAAATAATTTTCTTTCTCGATTAAGATCTATTTTGGAAAAAGAATCACAAGAGGCAGCTTTAAAATAAAGTCCGAATTCGAAAATTTTCGATTCGACGAGCTTTACATATGATACTTGAATATATTTAATAAATTGTCTTATTTTTCTAGAAGATTATATTAAAATATTCTTTTTTTTTTTTTGTTTACTATAAATTAGCTAACAATATAAATACAACAGATTCTCGTTCAACAACAGTTTCAGAATCAACTTCAACATCAGATCATCATCAACATATATCTCCACCATTATCACGTAATCATCATCCATTAAGTCAATCAACTGTTGATAGTCTTCATTCATGTAAAAAAAAAAAAAAAAGAAAAATCTAATAAATGAAATTTTTATTTTTTATAATTTCAATAAAAATTTTAGTTCCACAAGATTCAGCTACAATCGATAGTATTGATACAACAGTTTATATTCATGAACAAAATTATGAATCAACACGTCTTGCACCTGAAACAGCTTATACAGCATGGTTTCGTATGCTTGGTTCACTTGGAAATATAAATCAAATACGTGCAGCTGACCAACATAATCGTATAATGAAAACACTTTTTGATATATGGAAAATGCTTTGTCGTGTAAGAAAGATTTTTTGAAAAACAAAAAAAGTTTTTGATTGTTTTATGTTTTTTTTTAGATTCATATTCTATCAAAAGATACTTTACATGGAGATTTATATTTTGATGGTCCACCATTATTAATATTTGCACCATGGCTTTTTGAAGTTTGTTTAAAATGAAATAAGAATCTTTTTTTGTTTTTTGTTATCTTAAATATTTTTTTTTTGTTTTGGTAGGCTATACAAACATTACCATCAACATATCGTGAAGGAAAATTATCAGCATATAAATTATTATGTTCAATGGGTGTTTTTAATCATGATGTTTCACCACCAGCAGATTTTCTTGATATGTTTTTATTAAGTATTTATCAAGGTTTATTATCAGGAGATGAAGTAAAATATAAAAGATAAAATAAAAAAGAAAAACTTATTTATTTATTTATTTTTTAGGATATTATTCATGTTATAATTAGTTCATGTAAAGTAGATTTTTTTCATCGATGTTGGCCATCATCAACATTACTTATACCATTATTTACAACAGCTTGTTGTGACATTGGTCAAAAACCAAGTCTTGTCGATGGAAAAACTGTAATATGATTTTTCTCTTTTTTTTTTTTTTTTTGGTTGATAATATAATTATATGTAAATTCTTAATTATTAAAAAAAAATAGATTCCAAAAGTTGAAGCATTGACTATATTGAGTAGTCTTGTTTGTTTTCCAAATCATTTTGAACAACTTGATGTTTTATCTACTAAAGAGAAAGAATATGTACCTACAACAATGGATCGTACATCATTAAAACGTATGATTATGCGTGATTTAATAAAAGCATCACAAAATGATGCAATGCTTGAATCACGGTAAATACAAACAAAATAATTCATTTGTTTAAATCGAACTTCTTTTTGTTTTTTGTTTTTTTCTAGAGAAATTGCTTTATGTGGTTTAGCAATATTTCTTTGTGAAGAATTAAAACATCAACGAACTGAATCACCTATCCGACCATTTATTTTATTTATTGTTGAATGTTTACAGGTTGGTTTTATTTAGATAGAAAAGACAAAAAAAAAAAAACAATAAGAGAAAGAAAATTATTAGAATAATGATAGAAAAAAAAACGAGAAATTAAATAATATTATTCTTAATTTTCATCTTAAAGGAACAATCTAATCAGCGAATACTCCTAGAGAGAATAGAACATGTAAGTATGCTTGCTTTTGCTAGTCAGTTGAATAAATAATAAATGATTTAATTGAAAGTTTCGATTATCATGATGAAGAAATGTGCTATAGAACTCTAAAAGAGAAGAAAATCTTTAATTTTCTTATAAGAAATAAAAAGATATTGAGAATAATGCAGCAAAAATATTTGTGTAACGGAAAGAATTCTCTATTAAAATATTGGTAGGATCGAAGAGTTTAGCAAAACTACTTGAATGAGTGTTTGCGAAAAACCAAGACCCTCACAACTAGCTTTCTGCCTTTCATTCGAGATTTTTGAGAAAAGATTTTTATTTGATAGAGCATCTCTTATCTTCCCATGACTTTCCTTCATCGAATTGCATTCAATTTATAGAAGATTCCAAAACATCAAACATAACAAAAACAAGAGAAAAATACATCCTGAGTTTTCTGTAAATTGAATGCAGTTCGATGAAGGAAAGTCATGGGAAGATAGGAGATGCGCTCTATCAAACAAAATCTTTTCCCAAGAGCTTCGAATGAAAGCCAGAGAAGCTGATTATGAGAGAGTCTTGATTTTCCGCATACCTTCATCCAAGTAGTTTTGTTGGAGTCTTTGTGCCTATTAATCCTACATTAGAGAATTCTTCCAGCTACACAAATGCTTGCCAGTTATTGTCATTGAGAGAAAAACTTAAAAATGCAACTATTCTCAACTTATGTCCGCTAATATACATCTATTTTACACATTCTTTCTTTCAATACATTTGAAAATATTGTTCGTAGGTTTTTTTGCTTTATGACAATGTTTAGTTCGAAATAATTGAGAATTCTCCCTGTACTCCTTTTTGAAACTATACATTTCAATCAATAAAACTTTGTCAGTCAGTCAGTCACTCTTAAGCTTGAATTAAAATTCTAATGCAAAAATTAATACGATTTTATGCCTATCACCAATGTCATGTTATAACTATCAATTGCATGGTTAAATTAAATCTGCTACCTTACTGATCAGAGTCCACTACGTAAGCACAAACACAGAGCATCACACATACCAATCTAATGATAGCGACATATCTATTTTTATGAAAACGAAAACTCTATTAAAGTCAATATGGCGTACATTTTTTTTCTCCTATACACATCACAACAACACCATGAAATACAAGCTCATATGAATATCTATATCGTCAACATTTAGGCAGTTCAAGATTCGTCTTCAATTTCATTCTCATCATACTCTACATACAAAATCCTTTAATAACTATTCATGTTTTTTTTCCCGCCATTATTACTATTGCTTTTTAAAAACATAATTCAAAAACCTTTAACAATATTAACTAAAATTGTCTAGACTATGAGATAAATATCAAAAATTTCTCTTCACATGCATTATGACACAATACAATTAAATTAATTTATTTTGATTAATAAATTAATTTCTTGATTATTTTTTAGCCAGCTGATTCAACAGTATTCGCAGCTGATATGCTTCGTTTTCTTGCATCTTATGCTCCATTATTTATTTCACATCGTGATAATCAAAATGGTCAATTATATACATTAATTATTGATGGTCTTATATCATCATTACGTTCAAATATTCCACGTGATATTGGTGCATTAATGCGTAATAATGTACGTATTATAAAATCTTTAATATTTGCATTATTGGATTGGATATTACATGTTCCAACAAATTATTTACAACAACAACAAATACAACGTGATGAAAATAATCATGATATAACAACAACAATTATACAACGAACATTTTCAATATTAGTTGATGTTTATCATTCAACAAATTCATTAAATGATGAACAAAAAGTTCAAGATAATGAATTAACATTAAGTCAATCAATAAAATTATGTTGTAAATTTGCTATATTATTTTTACTTAATGAACATTCACATTTTCCATTAACTGAAAATGAATCATCACTTATAACAACAAATGTACATGAAGGACATGATTGGTTAATATCATCAAAACAACAACCAACAATACAAAATGATGATAATCAAAATTTAAATCAATCAGATGAATTAATTATACAATCATCAAATATTCAATTATTTGTTATTCATGATGATTTTCTTATATCATTTATTGAAATTCCAAATGATAAAATAAATGAATTAACAACAGATAATCAACAATTTATATCAGGAACAACTTTATGTCGAACAATAATAAGAGATTTATGTGGAAGATATTGTTGGGATAATTATACTTTTAATATTAGTTCAAATTCAAAAGCCATTACACGTCCATTTAATAATCCTATTGGTTAGAATTTTTGTTTTATAATGTTTCTTTATAAATTTTTAGTTGTAGAATTATCTCTTCCAACTAAATCAACATATCACGTTGAAGAAACAACACGAGGAATTACAGTATTGGAAAAATTTGATTCTATTCAACCACCAACTTTTCAAAATCAACCACCAAATACTGATATTCTAGATAAAGTAATATAGAATAATTTCATTTTCGATTATATAAGAGTTTTTTTTACAAATATAGTTTATGAAGAAAAAAAAAATAAATCAAGAAAATTATCTGTATTAATATTTAACTATTACAAGAATCTCATTAAGAATGAATATATCCTATTAGAACTGTTAAATAATAATAAAATCGATAGAGTTATAATTGATAATAAGATTGAGAATTGAAGTTCATCATTTATATCAGGAATGTATGCCGAATTCTCAAGATCTTTGACTTCTGTAGTTATTTTACCATTCTTAATACAGATGATTTTATTGTCCTATATTTTTCTACATAAACTTCTAACTCTTAGTTTAATATTTAATCAAGAGTATAACTGATAAAAAATAAAATCTTTTTTTCTTATAGCTTCTTCAATATATAACATCTCATAGTCCGGAATTAGCATTTTACAGTGATCGAACATTAACAGATGTTTCACCAACACCAACATCGATTTCTGCTCATGATGAAAAAGCTATTATAAGAATGATTAATGAACAAGAAATAGCAGAAAAAAATTATGGTAAAAACAAATCAACCAACCAACCAGCCAAACAAACAAACAAAAGTTTTTTCTTTTCCTTTTTTTATATTTTATTTAGATTCATCTTCATTTGGTCAAATTGAACAACATATTGAAAATGTCATTCAATCACCACGTTACGATCGATTTGCATTATGTCGATCACATATAACACAACTTGGTTTAATGATGTTTGAAAATCGACAAAATATTGATTTATTAAATACATCAAAAACAAACTGTGATCAACTATTACGTGAATTAAAAAATTTAGATACACTTAATTGTCGTGAAACACATAAAATCGGTAAGTCAAAAAAAAAAAAACACAAATACCATTAACAAACATTTTCATTCAAATTTAAAATCTTAATTTTTTCGGTTTTTTTGTTTTAGCGGTTATTTATATTGGTTATGGACAAGAAGATAAAACAAGTATATTTAATAATACACATGGTAGTCCAAATTATGAAGAATTTCTTACACATCTCGGTTGGCAAGTTGAATTATCAAAACATACTGGTTTTCGAGGTGGTTTACATCCATTAGCTAATACATATTCAATATATTATGCAAATGCACTTGTTGAAATTATGTTTCATGTTGCAACAATGATTGATGGTTCAACAGATGAAGATCGTTTAAGAAAAAAAATACGTCATATTGGTAATGATGAAGTACAAATTATTTGGACAGAACATTATCATGAATATGATAGATCAATTATTGCTAGTGCATTTGGTGATGTTTTAATTGTTATACATCCATTACCGAATGGTTTATATAGAATTAAAATTGATAAAACTAGCCAAGTAAGTTAAAATTATAATTAAATAATATGAACAAAACTTCACATCAACATTTATTTTTCAGCTTATTTCTTTAAAAGTATCGTACTATGGGTAAAAAAATCTAGTGAAATAACCATAACTTCAGAACGTCAGCACATAGAGAGGAATCTTTCTAGTCTCAATAGACTCTATGTAATGAGTGGTGTCTCATCTCGAACACGAGATACTACTCAAGATAGTTTTCTCGTTAATGCAAACTTTTTTTTGATTTGTTTTAATATTTGCTCACAGCTAGAGCGAACCGTAAGTCAGTAAAAAAAAAAGTTCTGATTTACCAACACCTTCTAAATTTAATTTTTGTTACAAACGTCAGTTTTAATCTCTATCAAAAGATCTATTCTCAATAAATTTACTCTAAATCAGAAAAAATAATTTTGAACATATTATGCAAATGCTTTTTACAATCTAAGCACTTGTTCATTTTATTATTTATTATTAAAGAAAAACTTTTCGATGATTATCAATCCTAGATTACCTTTCAATATAACTTATAATTAGAAACTTTTTTCGACTAATATAAATAAACGTAAATATTGAAAAATTTTAAACGGGCTCGTTAAAGATTTTTTTTTTCTATCGAACTATCATTTACTATTGTTAATTGCTTATATATCTAATATTTCTTTTAGACAACAAATTTCGGTCCATTATTTGATGGTGCAATTGTTGATAAACTTATTCTTCCAGAATTAGTACGTGCAACAGCTATAAATGCTAGTCGTGCACGTCGTACAACACTTAATAATCATTGTGAATTGTAAGATTTATTTATTTATTTTTTGTTTAATATGATGATTATTTGAATAAACTTTTTATTTTTAGTTATGAAGAACGTTATCGTATAATAAATTCAATAATACGTACACATAAAAAAGAAACAACATATGAAGAATTTCTTGCTAAATCATTTACACCATTAGCTACAAAAACATTGGGTAAATAATTAAATAATAAAAACTATTTAAGAATAAAAAAATCAAATATTTCAGTTCGTCGTTTTACTATGTTGGATTTAAAGGTGGGAAAAGAAAAGAATGATATCCAAAAAAAAAAAAATAAAAACAAATTGAATGAAAATATTGACATTTAATTTTGACTAACCTATTGCTTTAGACATTTGCGCAGGGAGGGATAAAAAAAGACAAGATTAGTAAAAACAGAAAACGAAAATTTTCTTCTCATTTTATCTTTAGTTATCCAAACAGATGAGGCAACAAAATCAACGAATACGCAAAATGAGCGGCGAGATGGTTCGTCCACTGTAACAAATAATCCACTTGCAAATACGCATACAAGTAGTCAAAAATCACGTCAAACACCTCGAAATTTTCCTTTTCTAACACAGAATAATAAATAACACGACGATAAAAGTTCTTTTTTTTCCTTTTTTGGTCTTTGTAATTTATATTCTCTTTTTTCGTGGCAATACTTTTCTTTCTTTTTTTTTTCTTCTTTTCTTGTCTTTTAAAAATTAAATATGTGTGGTTTACAGTGATTACTTCATCTTACATATATATGTAAATACAAATGATCTCACTTTTGAACAAAACAAAAAAAAAAAAAACCTAATGATTAGTTTTCTTTTTATCGAAACATTCCGATTGCTTATTTAAAAAAAAAATACATAGAACTTGAATTCTGTTCTTTTTTTTTTCTTTTGCAATAAGCACGTTTATTAAACATGTGTGTGTGGCTCTTTTTTTTTCTTTTGTTACTGCTTGAGTGTTTGTACTGAAAGATTTTGTTGGTTTTCTTTCTTTCTTTCCTCTATATTTATTATTATTATTTTTTTTTTGTTCCGGCCAAATCGCTCAGCTAGAAACGTTTTTAATTAAAAGAGGTTGGAGTGAATTATAACAAATGTTAAGACAATGGGATCTTTTCCTTTTTCTGCTATTCTATCACCGTGAAATATTCTACAACTTGATGTATTTAAGAGTTTTAAATTAGTTCTTTTTCTAATGTAAAATTGCAAAAAAAAACAACTTTAGCAAGAAGCAAGATTTTGTTTCGATACTTATTTTAAGATAATTATTTATTGTTTATTTCTGTATTATTGAACTAGAAGTCGTGATTAGAAAATTTTTTATCGCAATGAACATATCATCACTCGTATCGAAACACTAATTTCAAATGGCATTGTACAAAGCAGAGTTATAATTGATACGGTACTGTTCCAGAGATGTCTGTCACAGCTGAAAATTCACCGCTATTACTGCACTTCATAAGTTATTCATGAGAGATGGATATAATGTAAATATAACATAACACCTGTATATTTTTTCACATTATATGATGAACTAGAAAGAGATAATGAGAGTCTTTATAGTTTTAAAAAGGAGATAGATAATGTAGAATATTATATTTAGCTATAAGATGTCACGATGCATCTCGCTTAAATGTGAAGAATTTCTAAGTTAATTATTCGTTGTTATTTATAGAAAAGAAAATTGGTACGAATTCATTGAAATGCTGATTATAAATAAAAAATCATTTTACAAGAAAAATAATTCACTGATTTATTGAATCAATCTGTTAACACTTGTAGTACATATTTGATGACAAGCATATTATTCACTTGAGCTGGTAATAAGCTTTGTCCTCTATTATTCAGTATGACATCACTGTAACTAAAATACTTTTCCGCCTCTGCTAATGTAGCAAAAATTGAAAGCAGTTATTAAACATGACATTTTAATAAAGGAAATTTTGATGATGTAAAATCATTTGATTAATATTGAAATGGATTTTTCTTAACTATCGATCATGATGAATCAGCTTCTAGACATTGATTAATCTAAATATCAAAGTGAATCATTCCTTACGCATTGAAGATTTCTTAGAAAATAAAAAAAAAAAGTCTTTTAAAAATCGAGCTGCTGCTACGATAGATATCTTTGCTCTGTTTCTTACCGATGACGATATTAGTCTAAACGATTACACCAATCGATAGATTAGCATGAGTTATTTTTGGTTTTTCTATACGTATCAATTTGACCGAAAGAAACAAATGTCGATTGTATAAAAACAATGAATAAATATAAGATGTGGGTGTAGAGCTAGACATAAATAGAAGATTGATATCTGCATGCACACTCCACACTTATCCATATAAAGAAACGTGTTGTCTTGTTGTTGAATATTTTTCATACACTATTATCTCTTATTGATGTACTTATATATCTCTCACTTTTTTTGGATGCAATAAAATATCTTCATCTTGCTGGTTGGGAATCTTAAAATAAACTTTTGTCGACATTTTTTTCTTTGCTATTTTTTTTGCTTTCTACTAAATTAATACTATTCGATTTTTCTCATCTTTTAATAATCAAAAAAATTTGTCAACTAATCATATCGGTTGCTTCATCGATACAGTAATGATGTAAGGCTTCTGCTTGACTACTAAAGCACTTTTTTAGTATTTATTTTTTTTGGTAGTTCTCTATCTCTCTGGTCATCTATTGGTCAATAGAAAACTTTCTTACATTAATAATTCTCCAGTAACTTAGTATATTGATGAAATAATCACTAGACATGAACTTTATTGATTAGCTATAGAAAATTCAAATAAATCTATGATAAATTGTATTGCTAAACAAATATTTAATTTTACTTTGATAACATAACTTATTATGAATAACATACAACACATTAAACTATCGCAGGAAGAAGTGAAACGGTTAGAATGCCATTTATACGGCTATGTCCATTCGTTCTTCTCGTAAAACAGTGATAAACTACAAAAAAAAGTGATCATTACATTTCTTGCCGTTTCAAAGTGTGATTTATATTGCATAATCATTGAAACATGTTTCAAAATCAATCTCTTCGACATTGAAAGTAGTGATAAATGTCTATAATCATGATTTATTTTTTCCGCTCACTTCATTTTAATATAATTGAACACTCTGTTAACGATTTCAATTCTACTCACCATGCTCTTTCTAGTTGGAACTTACCTTTGTATACACTGCCGTAAAAGAAACACCTTGTAATTCTTTATAATAAATACAAAAACTTTAAATGAATCTTCAGATAACGCCCAAGAGCTAACGTAGTCAAATTAATAATATAGAGTCTAAGAATTAGACAATTGATAAATATCAACATCTCAGAGATCTGCAAGGCTAGCTCACGAACTGCTGGAACATATCGCTAGTATCATACTGTGAGAGAAATTTTTCTAAAGTATTTACTATTCCAGTTGGAATTTCCAAGTTGTGTAACTTATAGTTATTTGAAAATTTTTTTCGTTTTGATGAATCATTTAGTCAGATATTATCACTCGTATTTGAACGACCTCTATTGAAATCTTTTTTGGTAAATAATAAACTAATCACAAGAGAATAAATTTTGTATAAAAGTAAATAATCGTCACAAAAAAAACTTTCTAATTGATGAATATTTCGTAAGCAGTATTCAACGTATTCTTATTCTTCTATATAAAGTCTTGTATATTTTTTTTTTTAAATTTTATTTCAGATTTATTTAAATTCATAGCTGGAGTAAGTTGATGTTTTATTTTCTACGGGAGAAATATTTCGTCGTTATTTTAGACTCTTGCGTATCTTGATCTCAATTTGAATTTAATACAAAAAAAAAAGAAAACAATGCCGAAAAAACGTCATCGAAATGAATTTTTTGACGAACAAGCAGAAGAAGATTCAGCTGAAGAAAGCGATACAGAAAAAAAACAACGAGCAGCTGCTATAAAAAAACTTAAATCAAGTCGACCGAGTAAATTTTCTCACTTAAAAATTTATTTAAAAATCTATTATTATATTTTCTTTATTTCTATTAGTGAGTGATGATGATGATGACGAGGAAGATGAAGTAATGGATGAAGAAGCTGCAAAAGCATTAAAAGGTTTTATTGCTGAACCAGGAGAGGATGTAAGATACAAAAACAATAAATTTTATAAAATAATTTCTTTTTTTTTTTCTATTCTAGGAAGACGATGACAATGAAAATGATCAATCAGGTTCCGGTGAATCAGAAGACGATGATGACGTTGATGATGAAGATTTACAGTAGAGAAAAATCGTAATTATTTCTTTTAAATATTTTCTTTTATATTTCTATTTAAGATTAATTGCTGAAAATACAAATAAACGAATAAAAGTAAATTATTCTTTTCTTTTTTTTGCCCCAAATTCTAACAAATATCTTCTTTTTTTTTTTCTTATAGCCAAAACGTGTTCAAATCGAAGGTGAAGATGATGATGATGATGAGCTACCTACTGCATCTCAATATGAACCAACATCATCTAGTCGTGTACGACGAGATGAACATGATGTAAGAACGAAAAAATAAAAACAAACAAATAATCAAAAAAAAAATTTCTTCTAGGATCATAGTATTACACATCATGATGATGATGGAGGTGCAGCTGAAGAGTATGAAGATGATGGTAAATAAATATTGATTTCTTTTTTTTTTATGAAACACAATCTAAAAGAAAGAGTAAAAATTTTGAGCAAACAAAGATTGTATGTCGATAACCTTTCATTCTAATATATGAACTATTTCTCTATTGCATTTCTGAAGGATTAAGTAAAAGAATGGTAAAGAAATATGTCCCCCAAAAAAAGATAGAATAAAGTAATTTCCCATTTTAATTTTGCAGAGATTTTGTTAATAGTTTTAAAATTAAAAATTGGTTTTGTTTTTAGATGATTTTATTGTTGATGATGAAAATCAACCACTACCAAAAACATCTCATCGTAGAAATGAAAATGCACCGTAAGAAAAAAATAGCGAAAATACAAAATCGTTTATATTAAAAATACAATAATTTGTTTTGTTTTTCTAAATAGAAATATTGCTGAAGCACAAGCTATATTTGGAGATGATTTTACATTTGATAATATTAATTTTGATGATTTAAATGATGATATGGAAGATGAGGATTTAGAAGATGAGGAAGAAGAAGAGGAAGAGGAAGATGTACAACCTCAACTTGATGAAGATGGAAATCCAATTGAAGATGTAAGCATTCAAATATTTAAGAAATAATTTTATTATTTCAATTTTTAGGAAACAATATCAACAAAACGACGACGAACAATTCGAGCTCAACGTCGAAAACCAAAAGCTGAAGAATTATTTGAACCTGAAGAATTACAACGTGGTTATTTAACAGAAGCAGATATTAACATAAGACGAATTGATAAACCAGAACGATTTCAAGTTAGATTTATAAAAAAAAAGAAAAATATTATTATTGAATATTTTTAGTTAAGACATATTCCAGTAACTGAAGCTAAAGAAGAAGAACTTGAAGAAGAAGCTGAATGGATTTATAATGGAGCATTTCTTAAACCAACAATTTCTCTTCAAGTAATTATAGAAAATT